GTGAAACATATGCAAGCTGTGAAGATTATATTTCTTTTAAATGAAACATTTTTGCTTGGAAAATGCTACTTGTTCAAACTGAGGTTTTGTGTCCTGAAAGAGCCTGAGGAGTTCCTAAATAACTGATGGCTCAGTAGTAGCGGTTTCTCCTGCAGTGCAAAGGAAGAGGAAGATCTAAGTGTCTATACTCTGTATCAGTAGTTAGAGGTTAGAATTCATTAGAAGTCTCTGACGTTATTTTGCTATGGAATGAAAATGTGGAACCTTGAACTGCATTCCAGAAACGCACTATGAAAACCCAGCCCTATGAAGACACAGCTTCACTAAGAATAGGACATCAGGTGACTTGACAGACGTGGTGTGCAGCTCAAACGAGTTATTTGTTTCTGTCCTGTTTTGCCTTGTGAAATTGATCCCTCATGGCAGAAGTGCAAGTCTCTATAATGGAAATTACTCGAGGAAGGCAGTGGTGAGGAGGTTCAGTCTTAAACACAGACCCTCTATTTGCAGCCTGTCTGCCTAAATTCCGCACTGTTTTGACCCAGTTGCCTCATTTTCATGAGGTTCCTTAAGCCACCTGCTCTCAAAGCTCCCAAGCACCCACAAATTAGATTCCTCATTTCTGGATTTGAATGTTTTTTTCTACAAATCAAGTCATCTTCTTCCTATTAAACACAGGTGGCCTGTTTCCTTTGTGTTATGGTCACAGTTAAGACGCTACCTAAGTAGTAGTAAATTCCTAAGGCATAGTAGCTGCCACTGGCAAGGTGGTGCTTCTCTGTTTAAAGCAGAAAACCAAATGAAGACCTCTTCTCTGAGCATAGAACCTGTTGGTAACACCTCTGGTTTTTGCTACTCAGGAGGCAAAGGAATGCTGTAACTTCTTTAATTTTCTAGCATACAGGGATAGGTGCTCTGCACTTGGCTAAAAAGGCTGACGAAGAACTCTTTTCCGTATATATTAAAGGGAAGGAAACTATAGCTGCTTTCTAGAGTGTATCCTTATTACCAGTTTATGAATTACTTCTTTTTCTTCCCCTCTTTCAGGAGCAAATCGTGGCCTTTGCCAGCAAGTGATCTGTTGTCAGTTTGGAACAGCAGCTTGCCAGTGAAGGCATTGCCCTTATAAGGACTGTGACTGACTCAAATCTTTGAATTGTGTTATTTTAATTTAACAATAAAACTGAAGGATTGAGCTGTGTACTACATCATCCACTGGTTTACGCAAAAGTTCTGTCTCATCTGCTCTCCTCAAGAGGATTTAGGGTCTGTTCCTGTAGTACCGTGATGTCTTCAGCCACAGAACTATCTGTACAATGTGCTTTTAATTTGGGCCTTCTGAATTGAAGACTGAGGTGGAAAGAGCTGTCTGTCTTTTGGCAAATGCAGTGCTGAATTTTGCCAGCTACAACTTCTGCTGCTTAATTACCTTCAGTTTTCTCTGACGTGATTTCTAGAGCTGTAATGTCACTCCTGGGTTCTTAGCGCTTCCTGAACTCAGAAAGGAGGGGTAGTTTTCAGTAGAGGAGAGCCAGCTCATCATTGCAGATACGTTTTGAAGCTCTAATCTGTCTCTCTTTCACCCTCTTCCCTGCCCTTCTCTTGGTACTTTATTTAATAATGGTGTTTCTTGTGGAACGGGCTAGTCTTAAGGGCTCTGTGAAAAAGAGATGCAAGATGACAATAATGTCTAGGAAAGAAAACTGCACCACGATGTCTTGAATATTGTTAAAAATGCTTTAATTACTAAAATAGACGTTCAGGATATTCTGTCTTAGGTTCCAAACACCAGCCTCCTGCATTAGACTTTAGACACTCACAACATGAAGTGTGTACTGCCCACAGGCAAGATTTACATATATGGTTAACCAGTATCAGGAATTAACATCAGAAAGAATGAAACGTAAGTTTTGAACTGAAAGCCATTACTTGTGCTTCTTCAGTCACTCATATTAGGCAGTTCCTGTTAGTGACTGGCTAAAAGACATTACAAAGGAGATAAAAATCAGGGCTGCAAGGAGAACTCTTCTCTTAAAAGGCTGCTTAGTCTTTAGTTAAGCTAATAAATAATCTCATTGCACTAGGGTAAGTGTGAGGACTTGACTGGTTTCTCTAGATCCCCCACCCACCTTGAGTAGTTCAGATGTAAACAGCAGGGGCTCAATTCTGCAATTTCTTGCAAAAGAAACCTTTGAGCTGAGTTTTTGTTTCTCTCATGACTGCAGGACCAGGCCCCTGATAGAGAGCAGCAGCTTTGCTTCAGGTAATGAATTGTGCCACTGACAAATGAGGGCCCTGAGCATTCAGATTTAATGCAACTTTGGTACTGGGAAGCAGATGCTCCCACCTAGCATTTGTAGTACCAGAGTCTGAGGCAAAGAACACAGAAAAGAAACTTCCTCTATGTGGTACCTGTCTTGTTTGAGACCATCCTCCCTTCAGACAAAACCAAACCCTTAAGTACTCCTCAGGGCTAGCGTCTATTCAGCTGGCAGATACGCTGCTGCTGGCTCCTTACATACAACATCCCACCTTCCCTTCCTGTTTCAAATACAGCCTCGCTGCTTATGGCTCTTAGCCCCAAGATCTACTAAGTTTGTCATAGCACTGGCTCAGACGGAAAGAAGGCTTTTGGATTATTAAATTAGCTAGTTCTCAGGAGTAATGCAGCCTGGCTAGTAACCACTGCATCCTACTTTCTGTTCTCTGAGAATACAAAAGTGAATACAATTGTTCACTGAAGACAAAATGAATGCACATGCAGTCATCTTGGTGTGCAGACCAGACCATATATGAAGTTTTGCCGAACACGAGGACGGGGAATAAGAAATGCTTGTGGTTGAGAAGAACACTACTTTCTTTGTGTTCAGACAGAAGCTCCTAGTGAGGAAGGAACACGAGTTTGGTGTGACACTGAGGAATTTCCCAACATGGATCTCAAAACAGATTCTCATAAGGAGTACAGGTAGGATGAGCATTTCATATGTCAGAGACACAGCCTGAGTTTACAGCAAGGTGCCAGTGGTGGGACAAGTACGGGTGGCTCTGTCCCCATCCCTCAGACTCCTGTTGCTGACTGAGCTTGTTTAATCAAAAACACACTTTGCACCCTAGCGCCGTAAAACCTGAGATATGAGAAGGGGGTAGCTTAATCGGGCACAGTCAAACTTGCGCTGCTAACTAGAGAAAGTGGACTAATGTTCACAGTAAGGCAAATTTCTAAGTATCCAAACTGCTTGGCAAGATTAGTGAGGGCATGAGCGTGCTACTTCCTCCCCTTGCTGGGAATTACCAATTATTTTCAAATCCAGTTTGCTGAGAAGGTAGCGTGAGGGCAGTCTTTGGTTTTACAGAATTGGGAAAGGTGTTATAGCAAATAGGTAAGTGCAAATGCCTGACAGGAAAGTTCATCACAAGAGATCAGTGGATAAAAGCTTCCCGTAGTCACGTGCGTAATACCTATCTCTTCTTATGACTGGGATAAGTTCATCTTTATGTTACACATTCCACAGGGAGTAGACGATACTATTTTTTTGCTAAATAGGAGCAAACAGATGAGCTAGCTGCCAGCTATTCCATGGGGTGGAAAAAGTTGTTTCTACAGCTGTTTCTATTTAGGACAATGCAAAGTCTGCACTTGGAGCTTCCAAGTATTCAAGCAATCCTGATGTTCTCTACAGCCAATTAAACAAGAAAACCAGGATCCTACAGCCCAGCTTTCTAGCCTATCTGACAAGATGCTTTATTTAAAATATTGATCTTTCATTGCTTCTACGTGTTTGGTGTAAAAGAGATGGCAAGATTCACTTAAATTGTTAGTCAAATAGCTTCATGCTATCCTGACAGAAGTTTTGGACTTCCTAAACAGCTGCAACTCCTTCATTGGATGCACTGTTCCTAAAGCTCTGCTGTATACGTTAAAAATAATTTCAGAGCAATGCAGGGCTGCACACACCATTTTATGGGTTAAACTCCACTATATTAAAGAGAAATTAAGTTTAAAACAATTTAAAATGAACAAGGGATAAGCAAACAAGGGATAAGAAAGCAAAGCTACTTCCACTCTTGTTCTCCCTGTTTCTGATGCTAATTCTGCTCTCTCCCTTTTTTGTCTATTAAACAACTGAAAAAACAACTTGTTTCACCACAGCTCTGCATTCAGAGGAGGTTCCTAAAGAGAGCGCAGGAAGTGATAAGCCCAAATTTTCAGATGGGAAACCACACTTTAGAGCTCACTCAGTAAAATAGGCTGTGGTGTTCTAACAGCTCACCGGCTCAGCAGGTCTCTCTGGGCTGTGCAGTGCCTGTCTCCCTTGTGCTAGCACTAGACTTGACTCTCTGGTGTGCTGATTTAACTCAAGTTTGGTGTCATGAATTGGTTCACCAAAGAACCTGAGGAGCATCAGCATCAGAGGAAAGAAGGCTGCGGGAGTGCCTTGCTGAGAGCAGAGAAACGGAACTGCCTACTGCCTCTCACGGCAAAGTGAGCTATCAGATCAGCCATTTCATCTGACTGCGCCCTTAATTTCCTTGTGGGTGTAATTGTGACAAGCATTTCTTCGGCAGCTGAGTTTAAATAGCTGGCACTGCTGCCTAGTTGTGCCAGCACAGCTATGTGTTATGACTACATGCTAAATGAATGAAGTTACTGGGTCTGGTAGCCCGATGTACAGTACAGCTGCACAGATTTGTAAAGGGCAGCAAAAAGGAACACCAACAGTCAGGCACACGTTCTGCTTAGGAAATGACTGCTGCCTAAATAAATGCTTGGTAAGTTACAACCTATGTTTTAGCCAACACCTTTCCCAAAACCATGCCCAAAGTGTGCTCTTATAGCAGGCCCCTTCTTGAAAGACTGGAGTCTTCTCGCAATGTATTAGCCAGGTATTTGGAACGCTGAGGCTGGCAGCGTCCAGAGTTGTTCACTTTTCTCTGAATGACTGTCGATGCCATCTTTAATTTCTGTATTTAACATCTCACAAGCAAACTTAAGTTATGGATGTTTAAAATAAAAGGGGGAGGGGAAATCACGTATCTGTAGTCTGCTACCACATGCCAGGTATTCTGTGCTTCTAGCAATGGGATGTTCTACGAACGTGCTGGTGAAAGCTGGCTTTGAGCCCCTTGCGGATACTCTGCTGGAGTTTAGGCCTTTTGACTTTCAGAAGGCAGCTTCTGGATCATTTATGGCAATCACAGTTATAAAGCGTCCCGTGGCAACTCTCATTATGCACGATGCCAATCCAGGGTGAAGATCTGTTCTATAGCTTTGGTCCGTGTTCTGCTCTGTGACCAACTCCAGGTGAACAACGTACCTGGAGATTTCAGTTTGCTTTCTCAGCCTTTCAGAAATGCTGAAGTCCACAGGAATGTCGCAGCTCAATAGGTTATCCCCAGAGACTGCAGTAGGTGAAAGGTAGCACCCAAAGTCCAGCTTGTCTCTATGTTGTTCACTTTCTTTGTTAGCTGTAAAGGAAGAAAAAGTTGTTCCCAACAGTTCTCTCAATTCATATGTTGTGCACAGATGACAGCAACTACATGTAATGACACTGGAAAGACTCAGTAGATAATTAGCCAGAAAAATGAACTAATGTATGTTGATTGATGAGAGAAATTTGGAAGCTAGCTTTGGGATTTAACTGTTTTTCTCACCTGTAAGAGTGTGTTGTCCCTAAATCCAAAACCTTCCTTTAGTAAAGCAGTGATGTAAGTGAGATCCATGCAGAGGAAAGGACTGGCTGACTTGTACCTCTCCATGTTATCACAGACTAGAGAAGGAAGAAAGAAAAAAAAAACCAAACAAACAGATCTCAGCAAAATAAAGGAGCTTTTATCCACATTTTACATTTGAACTGACCTCAAGCCAAAGCCTATTAAAACAACCCACCCACCTATTAAGGGGTACATATGACACATAGTACATGCTACACAACTGTTCTATAATGTTGGAGAATAAACCATATAGTACTTCCAGTTTCTCTTAACTCCATCATAAGTGCATCTTTTATTACAGCAACATAATCCACATAACTCTTCCGAAGTCTGAATCTCTGCTCAACTGATAACTGGCAGGGAGCTGGTTATTACTTAGTCTTTCAAGAACACAGCATCGTTTGTCTTCCTTGCCTAGTCTCCAAGGATGGCTCCAGTAATGGACTCCACCTTCTAGGTTGGCAGCTGCTTTTATTTTTTTTTCCAACCACACATGTCCAAGGACATGGAAGAGGCTGTTGTCCAACCAACCACTCCCTCGCTGCAGCTAAGTCAGGATTCCACAGTAAGCGTGACAGTGACCTTGTCTTCTGGACCTACTGTTACCGCCCTGTTCTACAAGCATCAAGAGCAGAGTTCACTTCTTTTTAGAAACTGATAAGCAGCATCCTTCTACTACTGAAATGAGAAAGAGGAGCATTAATTTAGGATCACAGAATTGATCTCCTGATGCTCTAAAGCTAAATAAATGGTTTGATGATGCTAGATAACTGCATCTTTGGAAATAAGCTTTCTCAGTATCCAGGGAAACAAACCAAACCAAACCAAAGACACTCAAACTTTAGAGCCTAATCCCCCTATTCAAAACCATCTGAGTTTCTGGGGAGATTAAGTTTAACTGAAAAATCATTAGAATTTAGGTCCTATGTTAGAAAAAAGTCAGTCCTGAACTACATAATTAATCATCTTCTGGTGACAAATACAGTCTACTAATCATCATGAGGATGATCACAGTTCAGAGGTAATGATGTGCTCTGTAAGCTAAAGCTTTAGCCATCAGTAGCATGGCAAGGTGGGAGATCTTTTTTTCACAGGAGGAGGTACAAAACTAGAACAAGCACTCAGGAAAAAAAGTCAGGGGGAGGGAAAGGAATGCAAAAGAGGCTGTCAGACTTAAACAACCTCTGCTCTCTCCTTCCATTTTGTTAGAGATTAGAAAGGATTTAAGGTGACAGACTTACAGAAGTCAGCACTCTCCTAAACTCACAGAGTTGCAGTTTGACAGAAGGAGCTCTTGATACAACAAATTCATTTTCCTTTGTACTGACATTTATGAACTATCTCCCTCCTCTCCTGAACAGAACCAGGAAGCCGCTAACACTTTGTTTCCCCTCACTGCTCTTCAGTACTTTCTTCTGCAACAGTTACAGGTGTTGGCTAATAAAAGCTAAGTAACGTGACACTGAAGGTGTAAGTGGAATAAAGGCTAAACAAACTTCTTTTAAAAAGTCAAACTCACATCATGTACTGCTTACAGACATTCATATTTTTGTTATTTCTCATCCCCACCAGTTTCCCAAGTCTCATGACTATTACCTTCTTTGGCTTTTCTTTCAAAATCTTTCACTTCCAGAACACCTCCCTGTTCATAATCTGAAAAGGAAGAGGTGAGAAAACATCATTATAGACCTGAAAGCATTTGTGTTCTATATCTAAGTTGACCCTAGAGTGCAACTTGGTGACACTGGGCTGGGAGTGAGATCTGTTGGTAACAGAGGACAGAGCTGCAAGTATAACTGGAGCTCAGAGCACAAGTCTCATCTGCTGAACTCTGAACATCAAACTGCACTGACGTGTACACGCTCATTCCCTGAAGGCATTTTGTATATTCCCTCTTTCTCACCACCGTTCCTTTTCCCTGCTCGCCGTGGCTCCAGCCTCCACGGTTCCCCTGTCTACCTTCTGGCTGACATGCTCACACATGGTAGATTATCCCAAAGCAATTTACCAATTAGGTTGGTGTCAACTGCACGATCATAGTAATAGGAGAAAGCATAGAAGGAACTTCCACGAATCTCATCTGGTTGGTGCAGTTTCCCTTTGACAACCTTGAGTACTTCCAAGTAGCAAGGCTTGAATCCTGTTTCTCCTGTCAGGACAAACACAGATGGGGTGAGCCAAAGAAGCATATCCAGGAGATGGAAGAATCAGTGGCAACAGGATGAAAAGGGAAGATGGAGAGATTAAAGCATCAGAAGATGTGCAAAGACCTTAGATATCCCTTCCGTAATCCAGCATGGCACCTACATGCAGGCAAGGACTCTAAAACACCATCATCAAGTGGAACTGGTTAGAGCAGATCATAGCAATATCTGAAAGGTGCACTGCGCAAACTAGTGTAGGTGCATGAAAAGATTCCTTCATACCAGGCAAAACTCCCATTGTTATATTCTGTGGTAGCAGAATCTCATTTACATTTGCTACCACCTGCTAGCTAAAATGTTACTTTCCCTCTCCATCACACCGTAGTTTTAAGAATCCACTCTACACACACCAAATCTGCAACTCAGCTCTCATGTTCCCCACTGTAAAACAAAGCAACATCAGTCACCGAGGGGTCTGTTGTAGTCACTGATGGTAGCAGCTTCACCCTCTGTATGCAGCATTAAGGACAGTATCTTAAGAAATAGTTCCACAGGTGAGATATACTTTGGCCTACCAGTTATTGTACCCTAACACAGCCACAGTTTTTGCACTCTTAGCTCAAAGCCTCAGAAAAAGTACAAGTAACTCTTAACGTTTCCTATAAAGTTAGCATTCGTAATAAGAGATCACAGAGAATGCAGGCCAGCTACTCCTACAGCTTCAGATTTTTCTTTGGCTCTGTCAGAAGTCCACACTATGACTGGACAGGTGTACTTCATAACCCAAAGTAACTGATGGAGTATTTGCCAAGGAAAAACTCAGATTCTGAGGACAAGACTTATCTTACAAGAAGCAACAAGTCTCCTTAGCTTACCTTCTTTGTTGCCACCATACCGGTATTTCACTCCCCCGAAGTGCCACTCTGCCTCCAGTTGCTTTGGCAAACAAGAACTGCGGAACATTTGTCCATCTACAGCTGGAATGAAACCAGAGGGGAGAGTCAGAAAAGATAAAATTTAACACAGTTATCAGTCAATATGCAGAACCAGAAAAGAAGAGGCTGAAAGATCTTCATTAAGGTCTTTAAGCAAAAGTATGGAAATCTGAATTGATTGATGCTGCACAAACTGATTATGAATTAAGGACCAGTCTCAGTCTGGAAAATTTGTGTCCGTTTTCTCCTGCAAGCTGCAGGGCAGCTGGGCTTGTCATTTGTTAATGAGAGATAAATGGTAGAAGGGTATCTGGATAATGGCTGTTCACCACAGAAGACAAGAAACAAGAGAGGTAATTCATTAAACACACAGATACACAAACCCTAACAAACAGCAGATAACCGAGACAAACAAAGCAACTGGGCAATGAAGACATAAACTCCTAAGACACTGATCAACAGTCACTACAGGATCCACTGAATGTACCCTTGAAGGGTTCAACCAGAATACTGTAACTGATAAGAAGAAAACATGATTATTGTGGCCAGCACAGATCTTTCAGAAAAAGCAAACTTCTTACAGAATGATTGAGGGGGATTGTGGGACTGTGCAAAATTTACTATGGGATGTTTAGGGGAAGGCTAAAAGGCAGGGCAAGAGGGAATCGAGCCATCA